AGGGTTTTTCAAAATTAAATAGGAATAAAATACATTATATTAATATTTTCAATAACTCCCATTGTATGAAGATTTAAGATTTAGCTAACAACATGACATTGACGAATTTGATGTATCGCAATAAATTAAATTTAGACTCGCCATAAGTATATATTTATATCAAGTATTATAGTTAAAAGTGACCTATTTAAATCACCTTGTCAGTAAACATTTTACTTGTGTTAAATTGATTGATTGATGAAATTGTAATGTAAAAAGTTTTAGTTAAATATTTTAATAATAAAAAAAAACCCAGCACATGGGGGTCGCGGCACAGTGGTGACGTGGCATAGTTGGATCAAGTATAATTATATCCTACAGTGATTAAAATCACNTAATGATATCTGACAGTGATTAAAATCACTAACCATAAAAAACGCTTCGATGCAAATCTTTAGATAGTGTTTAATTTTAAAAAAATTGGTGGATTATTCCAAAAGCTACATGATTTGCTAGTTCCTTATTAATATCCTGAATAAGATAAAATATGTCGAATAAAAAAGGGATATAAATATTATTTCTCATAAAAAAATTGTAATGATCCATACATTTTTCAAAAAGTTATAGCATAATAAAGTTAAAAATGTAAAATACAAAATCGAAAATTTTCACACAAAAATAGCATTCAGTAGCCATTTTCACCGTGAAGATAAAATAAAGTCCGAAATTTTTTTTTACCATTATAAAGTACATTACATTAACTTTAATTTAAGATATATATAAAAGTGTCAGACTTTCCCGGAACACTTTCAAAATTTAAGTTGAAAAGTTCTACTTTCTACATGCATTTTTTAGATTTGAACCCCCCTCGTATATAGGAAAATAGTCCGATATTAAAAAACAGTATGTCGAATGAAAGATGTATATAAATACTACTTCTCATGAAAAAATTGTATTGATCCATACATTTTTCAAAAAGTTATAGCATAATAAAGTTAAAAATGTAAAATACAAAATCGAAAATTTTCACACAAAAATAGCATTCGGTAGCCATTTTCACCGTGAAGATAAAATAAAGTCCGAAATTTTTTTTTTTCATGTTAAAGAATATTACATTAGCTTTAATTTAAAATATATATAAAAGTGTCAGACCTTCCGGAACATTTTCAAAAGTTGAAAAAATTAATTTTATGTGAAAAAGTTGTCATTTTAAATCCCCCCTTGTGGGCAGGTTAAGGGTTAAATTTATGAAAAAAATATACCAAACAAAAGGTAATGATATTACACATCTATATAAAAAAAAATTATATTGATATGTTCATTTTTGAAAAAGTTATGGCAGTTTTTAGTAAAAAAAATTTTANATACCAAACAAAAGGTAATGATATTACACATCTATATAAAAAAGAATTATATTGATATGTTCATTTTTGAAAAAGTTATGGCAGTTTTTAGTAAAAAAAATTTTAAAAATGTTGAAAATTAGCGATTTTTAAATTTGTAATTTTTTTGGAGGTTTTCCCCTTTTAGGGGGAACGAGGGATTTTTTTTCAATTTTTGAGGGTAATGTCTTCGACTAGATACGATTTATGATCTTTTTGTATCATTGAAAGAAATCGGTTCGGTGAGACCTGAGAAAAAGTGGTAACACACACAAAAAAAAAAACACATCTTAGTAAAACCAATACCTTCTCAGCTTCGCATCGAAGCTAATAATAATAGCCGAATATATTCTAGTAGTAATGTACATTATCGAAATATTCGATAGTATTAAACGATAAATTGTTCAATTTTAATAATTCAATTCAATCAATGTATATTGTATAATATAAAATTATTCTAATGAATAATCTATGTCAATAGTTTTATGATTTTTTTTTTAAATGAAATGTAGTATATTATAAATAATAAGATGCTAGTTCTATGTTATTTGTACAATTTATTAATGAATAGATTTTAATTATTCTTTTTGTTATTTATTATTTAAATAATTAGTCGATAGTTAGATATAATAATCACATAACTATCGACAGTTTGAAACATTCTATTGTGTCCATCTCTACATTCTAGTACATTCTAAATTCGATTATTTTTTTTTTTTACTATTGTCCGCAGTAAAAAAAAGACTAGTTGGTTTGACCAAAACCCGTTTTATATGATTCTTAGTAGGTTTGAATAAAGCAATGAACGTATCGAGTACAAGTACATCATACAACTCATTATTACAGATAATTACGAAGCAAAATAAAATGATTATCTGAATAGTTTCTTTTACTACTTTTTAATACATTATTAGCATTCATCGAATTAAACAAATTGTACCTTACAATGGATCAAAAGTAAAACAGTCTATATCTAATTTAAAGAAATGTCGATAAAAAATTTAAATATTATAAAATTAAATATTTGTAACTACATGATTAGTCACAATTATCCAGATGTATTTATATTTTTAGACTACTCGAATAGTACTTGATGTCTTATAAGTGCACAGATTATTTGTCGTGTCTTACAAATCTTAAGACTGAAGTACCAGTAAATATATAAATATAGAATCCTTTAAATTATTAATAATAAACATAAATGTAGCATCATTAATTGTAAGATAAATTCGAAGCCTGATGAGACTAATATTCTATTTAATTTACAGACTTTATAAAGCATGTTGAACACATGTGTTAGGAATTCAGACGTAACTACAGATGCAACCGGAGAGTTCTTTTAAAATGTAATATTTAAGGACTGTCAATTCAATAAAAAATGTCACATACATCATATAAGTTTTTATCACTTTGGTGTTATAAGAAAAAAATTAATTTAAAGACATACGGTCAACATGTGTCAGAAAATTATAATCGACCAGCTGATAATATTTTGTATTAAAGAACGAATGAGAGTACATAAGACGTCTAAGGAAATTGAAAAATGAGACAGATGATATAAAGTCATAGGTAATTAATTATAAGTATAATTAAAACTTATAAATACTCAACGTTATATAGAAAAAAAAATTAACTGAAGAAATTCGTTCGATAAGAACAATATAGTACCACTAAGAAACAGGAAATTAAAAATATAACGTGATAAAAAAAATTATATTTTATTTATTAATTTTTTATTTTGTTTTACTAAAAATTAAGAAAAACTATAAAAGAATGTTTTTACTGGACATTTCCTTAAACTCTGACCATTCAATTATCCTTTTGAACAGTCTTACCTTATAACCCATTAATAAATTTTATGTATATCTACGCGTATAAAAGTCAACATTTTAAAACTTAAGTAGCACAAACTAATTTAATTTCCTTTTATTTAATCAAAACGTAAAATAATGTAATACGTGGTCCTAGGTAATTTAATCATAGTTTGTGTTGCTACCTATACAAATTTAGCATATTATATTTCATACTTGAATCAGCGAACGAAATACACGTTAGTTAGGTGTACGCGAATAGATCGAATTACAATAATTTAAGTTTGACATTCAATTCCATAAGAAATAAATACCTAAGCAATCCTTTATGATTGAAAAATGTATTTAGTAAAATACATAAAAAAATGTTTTTTTTTTAAAACTTATGTATAATTATAACGTTCTTTTTGTATGATAATTTTAAATAATAAGTTAAAAGGTATGGACTCTGAAGACCGGATTTAGAGAAAAGCCCCTGAGCCTTCTCCTATATATTATTAGGTTATAACTTAAAAACTTTTCTATACATAACTCAAAGTCTTAAATAATTATTAATTATTAAATACAATTTAATTTGATTTATAATTTAAAATATATTATTAAAATGAATTAATAATTCACATTTATAAAACCTGAATTCAGCAAGTCTAAATTATTATTAACTGTAAAGATTCAAGATAAAATGTTTTTCAATATCTAATCATTAAAAAAATACTCAATGTATTATATGGTTCAAGTAAAGTAACCCAAGCCAAGCCTTAATAAAACATGTATATATAATTTCAGCGTTATGTTCAGAATTTTCTATGGAGGGGAGAGTTGTTTGCGTATTAAAATTTTATACTACAACCTCCAAATTGTATCTTTAACACGTAGGGGTTGGGTAAAGTATTATCCATATAGACTAACCTAATATTATTTTAAGGTCTTCAAAGTATTGTAAATGAAAGCGTTCTGATAAAACAAATATTTAAATATTATTTAGAAAAACCAATCAATTCATTTGAAAACTCAAGTCAGTCGAGTAAATTTAAAATAAGTGGAATTAATTATTTAATTACGATTTCATTATACAAAATAATTTTAATTCAAAATTAATATAAGAGTCAAAATTAGTTATAGGCATAATTTATAAAAGTAAGCATGGGAAAATGTTGTTATCACTAAACGGATTTTGTGTAGTATACATCATTAGAATTATACTACTATAAAATATATTTTGAATTTAAGTTAAAGATGTAAATGGTTTTATGATAGATTCTGAATTTTAATTTTAAAAGTCTTGACAAGCAAAAAGGTTGAACTAGTGATGGGAAATATTTTGAATAATAATACCTGTTGAAGTATTCGAACTACTCGATAGTTATTCAACTATTGGAGAGTTTTTTTAATATTTAATAATTAATGCTAAAAATAAACTTTCGGTTGCATACAAAATATTTGACTAAATATATCACCTAGTTGAACCAATAATTAACTGATTAATGTTTCAAATAATGTCAAAAAAATTCCAATTATAATCTATTAATTACACTGGACAACTATTAATTGCAATTAAAGACATAATTTTTTTTTCTTCTAAATAATTGCTTATCAAGATGTTAATTCAAATAATGACCTAGTAAAACATCAGCAATAATATGAAATGAAATTAAGATGACTGGCTTTTTTTATCTGGGTCAAAATATTTGTCAGGTGTAAAAGTATTTTAAATATAATTTAATAGCTTTATGAACACACGCGCATTTCAACACAAACATTATACAGCTATATATGTGTTTCAATTAAAAATAAATTATTTCAAAATGAAAATACTTTTTAATTTTACCTCATATGACCACGTGCATGGCACACCGGCAAATTTCTGCACACATCTTCCAAGTTCAACATCCTCGTGAGTGGTAAAAAGATTCTTTAGACAGTGTTTGATGTGTGGCACGACCCTCGCCAGAGTTTCGCGACTCATAATGACGCCAGGGCCGCCCATGCAGAAATTTTCGTCGTACTCGAGGCTCAATAAGCCGAATTCTTCCTGGTTACCACGACCAGCCTGCCCTATGAACACGGGCTTTCGACTATCTACTGATCTGAGTAAGGTTTCCAGTTTATCGGGACGCACGTAAACGTCGTCGTCGGCTCGCATAAACCATTCGTACTTGTCACCATAATTATCCCACATGTGTTGTAACATGAGAAAGGACTTTTTCTGCGGCGGATACGAATCATCGACTGTGGCCAATCGAACGAGCGGAAGATCGGGTGCTTCCGTTGGTCGAACCGAAGTTTCCGATGAGTAAAAGAGCACGCGACCAGGGACTTGTCGTGCCCACGTACGATGTACAGCCGCCGCTCTAGTAGACAGGTACTGGTTGGCTGTCATGACTCCTACGAATAGCAGCGTAGCTGGCAACTCATCTGACGTCGTGGTACCGTTCGCTGGACCATCTTCTTCAATAGCCCATTGTATAGGAGATACGGCTGGTTGTTTTAAAGGTTGTGATAAGCTGGGGCCGAACTCCCGACAACCAGTGTGAAGTCGTAGTGTGGAGTCGCCCATTAGAAACCCAACGGTCAAGCCGACCAACACGCCGGCTATCGTGTGAACGAGCCGTCGACGGACAGCCGTAGATTTCTTTTTGGCGCCGGCCTTTCCCGTAGTCGACCTTTTCTTGAAGCGTTCGACTGGCGGCAATTCCAGCAGCAGTCTAACGTCGGTGACACTATGTGTGTTGGCCATTGATGGCGGCACATCATCTCACAACGTTAATATTACCATTAAAATGATACAAATTTATTTTAGTCGAGGTGTATAAAAATAACGTAATATTTCGTAAGTATAGGTGGGAGAAAAATAAATTCAATTAATGAAATAGCAAACTAACGGACGACAATAACGCGGTACATACCGCCGACATTACGTGCTCGGATCACGCACACATACTGCCGTACACCAGTTGCTGTCTGATGGCAACACCGACGACGACGGCCACGGCGGCAACGACTGGTTTTCTGTGCACACTACTCCGTATACCGAAAATCCCACCAGTCTTGGGCCCTCCGACGATTTCACTTCATCTTAACATTTCGCTCAATGTTAAAAAAAGAATAGGTAATTGCTACAAGTGCCGCCCCTCCACTGTTTTTATTGCTCAATTTTATTATCACTTGCCTTTTTATTAATACAAATTTTGTTTTAATTCATGGTGTTTATATTCACTTAATGCTTTCGAATGTATTTTAAATGTTAATATTTACTTTCATAATTTAGATTACTTAGTGGTTAATAGAAACTCACATAAATTTATGAAAAATTTGGCTAGATTAATTTTTACTCCACCTAAAAATATTTTTTAAGAAAAAATAAACGTAATTTCCTTAAATTTTAGCCCCCTGAATTACGCTTATGAACTGAAAGTCAGTAGAAAAATGTATCCTCTGCCATAAAATTGAAAAATTATATGTATTTTTTTTCTATATTTGAATAGATTAGAGGCTTATTAAATATCCATATCAAAAAATTACCTATAAAATAAAAATCACGCATATTTTTATAAAAAAATTATAATTGTGTTATAATTTCGAGCTCGTAAATAGTATTTAAGTTAATACAATACCTTCATACATAAAATAAAAATTATTAAAAACAGTTTTAAAAATAGTAATTTAGACTTTTATAAAGGAGAATAACCAAATGACAGTCTCAAATATGCATGTTCGAATTCGGTCATGGACTCATCTATTTTTTGAACGAGAGATTAACTCAGTTTTTAAATTACCATTCTTTTCTGCGATGACGTACCAGGAGCAGATTTAGAATGTTATTATAAGCAGTGCTAAGAAATAAATTTTGTTCGAGTTGCATTCTATTTGAAATTTTTGGCTCATAAATGTTTTTTGATAAGATATCTTATCAAAAAACAATTATTCTTAACTGATTGTTTGATATGAACATAAAATGATTGTTGTTAAATATCCTTTTTTCAATTCAACGAAATAATGTATAAGTCTAGGATCTTACTCTGGAAACAATGAAGGAAAAAGTGGCTGGTCTGCATGACCAATCTAAAAAACTGAAAGGTATATTGTGAACTTAAAGTATAATTATTAATTGTTCTAAACAAAAATGTTTAATTATTTTCAATATTATATTTTAGATTTTAGTATAAAAATGATAATACTAGTTCTAATCCTCATCAAAATACGTGCATGTAGTTTTAGAGCAAATTTTTTTGCAAATTAATTAATGTTTAAAATTTTGATTTTTACACAGTATTTAAAAAATAACTTCGTGTAAAAACAACTTTTTAGAATGTCAACAGGCTATATCACTTTTAAAATTAGTAGTTCTACTTCTTTGATGTTAAATTTTAATTCATTTTTTTTTTCAGAAGCAAAAAAATATTACAAATCAAATCAAAGGCTAAACATAAGTCTCATTTGATGAAAAATATTATAATAATAACTGAGTCTCGATAATTTTTTTTTAATTCTTAATTTTATCAAAACAAAGTTTTAATAAAAAAAATTTTGTTTTTAATCTCAGATAGTTTTTTTTTCAGTTATAACAATAGGCAATTACAGTAAAACGATATTGTTTATAGTAAAAATAATCTTAGGAGTTGTGCCCCATTCCTCAAAGTTTTTTTATTTATATGGCTATATCAAGATATTATTAAGGACCCTTAAATATATTCTATTAGATTTAATTAAATTTAGAAAAATAAGAGTTGTCATTATATTTTCTTAATTTGCTTATTTAATTTCAAAAATATAATTAACTTTGAACTATTGTATTAAGTACTACGATAGATGTGATAAATATAGTGTAAATTATGCTATATTTTAGATAAAATTATTATATTTGATAAAAAAGTAGGATAACAATTAAGTAATCCAATAAGTATTCGTATCCTACTGATCCTAAACATAAAGATCATCTCAATATTCTTCAGGGTAATTATAATCAAAAAGACATTCAAATTCTATAGACGGAAAAAAAGTCCTTGTAAGGTTTTTGCATCTTGTAAAATTGTTACTGGCATCAAATGCTATAGATTGATGAAATACTACATCTTACATTTATAATTATACCTGAAAATGATATCATAATCAGCGGTTATATCAAATTATCATTCTTGTTGTTTATTAAGAAAAGTTTGACTTTAAATGAGTAGTTGAGGCATAAAACTACTCATTTGTTGTGTTACCAACTTTTTTAACATCCTCCAGATATTGCTTTGTATGAAATATCTCCTACGGTAAGATGTGTCCATACTATAATAAAACAGATAAAAAATTTAAAAGAAGAATCCTTGTTATGTGTATAATTATAAAGTAACGAGTTTTTTAATAAGTAAAAAGATTTTGTAAATAAAAGACAGTTTTTAGAAATTTATTAAAAACAAACATTGTATTAATAATGAAATAGTCTAATAATAATTTGAAAATTTTAAATTTATTTGCCATTATGGTACGAGTGATATTTTTTGAATATATGTTATTGAGTATGATTAAAAATATAATGTCACTTAACTAAGTTATATTAATAATAAAGAAAAAAAAATTGTAGGAGAAGTTACAACTAGATACTTCAAACAAATGTTAAAATTGGAAAAACAGAAATTAACAACATCTTCTAACAAATCAAATAACTCTAATATGCCTACACATCCAATATTAGAATCTGAGATGATTTCAAATTTAGATGTTAATTGTAGTTCTATATTACTGTCTCTTAATGTAATAGAAACTTCTTTAGTTACATCAATTGGATAGTATAGAATACTATAAAACTATTGAACTAATAATGTTTGTTCTACACTCAGGATTAATAGTTTTAAAAGGAAATTTAAATAAATTAAAATATTCTTATTTTAAACTCTTGGTCTGTGCAGTAAGAATTTTCATATCTCCTGATAAATGTCACACTTCAAATGATTTAGCTCAAAACTTACTGAATGAATATGTTTCTCAGTACTCTTCTTTGTATGGGACTCATTCGTTCATAGCTTATTACATCTTCTTATATATTTTAAAACTCATGGCCGTCTTGATAATTTTAGTTTAATTTGAAAATTATTTACAATACATAAAAAAATCAATAAAAAGTGCCAAATATTCTCTTTGAGAAATAACTAATAGTTATTAAAAAACAAAAACATTTAATATCCAGTAGTATAATTTTTGATTCTATTATTACTTTTAAAGATATTAATATATCTTCTCTTTACTTTAGTTTAGATGATAGATTATATGAAAAAATAATTTTATAAGATCTAAATATAATTATTAATACATGCAATGAACGTGATAAATATATAATATTAAAAAATAGTGACATTGTTATGGTTAACCACATCATAAACCAAAAAATGAATCATTTTTTATATTAATTGTTCAAAAATGTTTAAATTCATCTCCAATTTTTACTGAGCCAATTGTATCTTCCATATTTGACTTATATACTATAAATACAAATTTGTTATTAATTTTTATATTCATATATCTAATGAACAAGCAGTTATATCAACTTTAAATCATTCACTTTCTGAAATAACTTATAAAATTAACTTATTAAAACAAGCTTGGTATAAATTATTAATTATTCAAAATGCATTCATTTTTGTTTTTTAAGTTTATTATATATTTATTATTACTAATTAAGTAGGTATATAATTTTTATATTTTATGTTTACTATTTATTTTATTTAATAGTCTATTATAATTATATAATTGTATAATATTGTGATACTATTTTAATAATTTGTATAATATTGACATACATATATGGTTTAATGTAGCTATGTCTATTTTTGACTTACTATTACTGGTATATTTTATTTTGAATTTATATTTTTTTTATAGTTCTTTAACTTATCCAATTATATATTATGTTTCAGGTGATGTTGTTTTTGTGTAGTGGTTATATATTTAGTCCAAGTTATTATTTATATGCTAGTAACACCTATTGTTTTAATAAACATAATTAATACAAATTAAGGGTGTTTTTAATGTACTAAAAAGGTAAAAAAGTTCTAGCTACTAATGCCTAAATTTAATATCCCATGAATATTTTTTTTGTTTTTTAATATACATCACGGTTATAACATTTTATTTAATGATTTAAAAAATGTTTATTGTATGTACATCTAGCATATTATGATGACATTATCTTTAAATGTTCTGGTAATATTCCAATCAGACATTCACACGTTTCTAGAGGATGTGTATACAATGTTTGAAGGAGACATACTATTAATTCTTATAAATAACAAACCTTAAATATTTTATAAGTGTTGATAATCTTAACAAGCTCAGGGATATCACCTTTACATCATAGTAATAATGTATGGGATGTTACAAGTTCCCATGAAACGTTTTAAGAACTTCAATGATATGTAACATTGCATAGTGGGTATTTTAATAAGTAATAATTATATATTAATAATAAGTATACTTACTATCATAAAAAACACATGTTTTCGATGTAAATCTGTAGATAGTGTTTAATTTAAAAAAAATGGTGGATTGTTCCAAATCTACATGATCTCTTATTTCCTTATTTATATTCTGATTACAAGTTTTATGATTTATAAGTGTAATATATAAATAAATATATATAAAGGGAAATGGTTTTATTTACAAAAAATTGAATGAATGAGGAATATAAATAGTATTTATCATAAAAAATTGTATTGATCTATACATTTTTCAAAAATTTCTAGAAATATAAAGTTAAAAATGTAAAATATAAAATCGAGAATTTTAACACAAACATAGGATATGTTAATGACTACCGCATTTTCACTGTAAAGACAAAATAAAGTGTATAAAGTAAAATTTTAAATTTTGTAGTTGAAACATATATCAAATCTAATTCGACGATAAATACTTAGAAAACATTAGAAATTAATGATTTTCATTGTCTTTATGGAGAATGTGGGCTAAGTAACTTTTTTATTGATTAAGTAGAATTTTTTTTTTTCAATTTTTGAGGGTATTATGTTTAACTAGATACGAATTGTAAATATATGACGTATCGTATAAAAAAAATTAGGTCAAGTGAGAGCTGAGAAAATGTATGATAGCCACAAAAATACCCTCTCAGCTTTGCATCGAAGCTATAATTTAAAATATAGTAAAATAATTTTAATATGAATAAGAAATTACTTTTTGAAATTTGATAAAAATCAAATGAGTTAAAAATTTATTTTAACTTAAAAAGAATTAAGAAAAAATGCAAAAAAAATTAGTGCCACAAGTAACACAAGTGTTACTGTCTCAGAAATCGTACGTCACATTCGTCACTTAATAAAAATGGTAATTTAGTTAGTTCAAATTTTAAAGTTATTTTTCTCGACTAAATAAAATACAAAACCAAGAATTTTAACACAAAAATAGCATATTTTTGAATATGGTAGCCATTTACACCACGAGGACAATGTAAAATTCGAAAAATTTTTTTTCATATTAAAAAATAATACAGAGCTTTAATTTAATATATATATAAAAGTGTCAGTATTTCCAAAACATTTACAAATATATTGAAAAAGGTATACATTCTATATGCATTTTTAAGTTTTGAATTCCTCTGTATTAAAGGAAATAGTCCGATTTAAAAAAAAATATGTCGCATGAAAGAGGAATATAAATAGTATTTCTCATGAAAAAATTTTATTGATCCATATATTTTTCAAAAAGTTATGGTATTTTAAACTTAAAAACGTAATATATAAAATAGAGAATTTTAACACAAAATATATTAAAATAATATTTCAAACAATGTATAAAACAACCATATGAATTTTTAACAATAAAATGAACAATATACTTTAAAAGATGAATTTGACTATAATGTTTTTATGTAAAATATGAACGTGTTAAACTATACTATGTATTGTGTATTATAATTAACAGCATGAATACTTTAAAACGATATATAGCTTGGTTATCTAAATTGTACTTTATGTACTTCAAAAAACTTTACTTTAAAATAATGTGAAAATTTTTTTTACTATTTCACACGAAAAAACTTCACCTTGACTATTATATAAATTTTTAAAATACAATCATAGATAAGATAAAGAAGCTTAACTGTAATGCAACTACCTGTCGCCTACAAATGCTGATAAGTGGGCAAACTGGTGGAGGTGTTGCCAAACCACTGCAGCTTTGCCGCCAAATAAGTCAAATATAAATTCGCGTTTTGGCGCCAATAGTATTCATTAGTGATTATTTTACTATTGTCAATATTATTAATTTCATTTTTACATATATATTTGAAAATAAATGTTTTTAATTTATTATAAATTTTGAACTTTGTAAAATTTATTGTTTGAAAAGGGAAATATCTTGATGGTTATTTTAAATAGTTTTAATTGTTAATTAAAGGTGTTGCCATTTAAGAAATTAAAGTTNAATAGTTTTAATTGTTAATTAAAGGTGTTGCCATTTAAGAAATTAAAGTTGACATCCTTATAAGGTAAAGTGGTGAATATAAAAAAAAACTTTTTAAGATTGAAAAATTGAGAAAAATATTGATCTACAAGAAACAAATAAAAATTTACTAATTTTGCTATTTTTTGATTAATTAGTGGTTTATGATAAGTGAATCATAATTAATCACAATTACAAACCTTAAGCAGAAACAGGTTTTAAAGAATAATGTTTTTGTTGTAAAACAATAGATAGTTAAATTATATTTTATGAAAATTAATATAATTATAATTAAACATATCAGCTAAAACAAAATTAATCTGTAAAATTTACAATAAACTTCAATAAGAATTTTAATAGGCTTATTAATACGAGTGATCTTTATTATAGTTATTCCAAGTCTAAATATGACAAATCATCATCATCTTCTGCAGAAAAAATTTGAGCCAAATTGGTTGGTATTATTTTTGAATATTTTTGTGGTTGTGGAACTGCATTATCTTTTTTATTTGAATTATTTAAATTTAATGAATTTGTATCATATTTATTATCAACGTTTGGACTTTTTGAATTTTTACTAAATTTAAATTTACTCAATTTTAATTTGGCTGTTTCTACTGAATTAAATGTAGATTGAGGTATTGTTTTACTTGTGATATTTCCAGTAACAATCACTTCATTGGGATCTGATTTTTTATTAAAAATATCTGCTGGTACAATTTTAGAACATTTAGGTGTTTTAAAAGCTAATGATCGATCTATATTAATATTAACATTGCACAAAAAATCATTGGATGTCTGCAAACTTACATTATTATTAGTACTGTTACTTATCACATTGTTTGTTGATAATTTTAAATTTGATGTTTTATTTTTAGAGTTTTTGACAAATATGTCTTCATCATTAGAATCTTCATTTTCAGCATTAATTTTTTTTGGTGAAAATATTTTTGATGAAACAATATTTTGCTTTTTAACAGCATTTTGTGTTTGAGTTAAATAAAAGTCTGACTGTTTTTTTATTCTTATATTTTGTATTGTTTCTGTAATTTTATTTGTTATTTTTTTTGATAAGTCTGAGCTTTCTTCAGATTTATTATTAATATTATCACATATTTTTGAATCTTTAGGTACTGAATTTTGAAACCACCAATCCATTTCTTTTTTCAAAATGTCTTCCAGCCCTAGTTTTGTTAATATTTCTTCCACTTCAAGAAAAAAAAAAGTTTTAACTTTGGAATAGTGGAAATGATAAAATTATATACTTGTTTTTAGATAATCATCTTTAGGATTCATTGGAAAATTAGTATACAATGTATTAATATTATTTGATCCTTCATCATTTGAACATTCCATCAATGATACTGCAACTATTGCATCTTGAACAAGGACTTGTTTTCTGAACATAAGTTTAGCATGAGCTTGGGAAAGTCTTAACCAAATAAAATAATCATTACATTTATGTTTCAAAGTATAATTTAGATTAATATAACCTTAAAAGACTTTCTAAAAACCGAACTGTTGTCCGAGCAGCACTTCTTTGACAACTTTGACGTTGCATCCAATAATATTTGCTTAAAACAATATTTGCCTCTTCGGTAGTTTCTGGTTTTGAATTTCTAATAGTACAAAAATAATGTTGAAGTTTTTCCAAATTCCATAAAGAAGTGGCAGAATTATCTGAACATTCAGGTTTTTTCCCTTGTAGAACATAGGATGAAACAATTCTAAAAATAAATGTTATTCACAATTAATTAAGTAGAACTTTATTCTAAAATACCATAGGAAATTACTTTTCCCAGTCTTCATTATTGGTGTCAATTAGAATGAGAATTAAATCAAAACGACTTAATAAAGGGCTAGCTACTTTAATATTTTCCACTAAAGACAAATTTAAATTATATCTAGTTTTTGGATTCATTGCAGCCATCACAGTACACCGAGTGTCAAGTTTACATACTAAACCTGCCTATATTAATTACACTTGTCAATTAAATTAAAAGAAATTTAAGAGCAATATTATAGTTTTTATACTTTAGCAACACTAATTGACTGTTGCTCCATTGCTTCATGAATCGCTGTGCGATCTTCTTCTTTAAGAGAACCAAATTCATCAACACAGCAAATCCCTCCATCAGCCAAAACCAATGCTCCTGCTTCTAAGTGCCATTCTGATCCTTCCTAATAATTTTTAGAAGTAGTTATAAATTAATTATGAGAAATAAATTATATATCCATACAAGTAGTAATTCAAAATTTATTAATATACTTACTTTAAATGCTGAAACAGTTAATCCAGCTTTTGATGAACCAACTCCAGTTGTAAATATAGATCGAGGACAAATTTTCCAAGCATATTTCAATAACTGTGATTTTCCAGTACCAGGATCTCCAACTAGCAGTATGTGAATTTCTCCTCTAATTCGGATTCCTCCACTTTCTGGTCTTCGCACACCACCTGCTAAACCTAATGCAACAGCTAATTTTGCAGTGTATAAGCCATATGTCTAATCATAATAAGTACTTAAATAAGTCTTAGTTTATAATTTATTTATAATGATAATATAACCTGAGGACTAATGGAAGCAATAATATGATCTCTGGCTGTAAAAGGGTCACTTTTATTATCCTCCCAGTAATTTTCAAACTCTTTATGCCATTCATCAGTTATCATAATTGCAGACTGTTGATCATTACATACAATTAGATGATTTGCTCTTAAACATATTTCAATATCAATGTAAGAGTTAGAAATTAATTGGTGCCATCTTCTAATAACAGTTCCACTAAAAATAACAGTAATACTTTATAAAGCTCATTAGTAGGAATGGTAATTAGACATTTGAAATAAATAATTAAAATTTAAAAAATAATTTACTTTTTATAAAAAATTGAATGTATAATTATTTAGAAATTTAGACTATTTTACATCTTACAAGTTAAAATTATGTTATTTAATATTTGATAGTTAATTTTAAAAATACTACCATATAATGACATCATCACCAGGTTTGCACTTATCAACTAAATCATCTTCTAAAGATACCCACATAGAGCGTGGCATAGCACCTAAGCCAACTTTTCCTATTTGTTCCTTCAAAAGCAAATATTGTAAGTATCAAATCTTAATTAAAAAAAACTTACTAACATAACTTCAAAAAAAAAAAAAAAAGTATTTAATAATTATTCTACTTGAATTTTTATTTCTTGATAATCTTTAATGAATTCTTCTTCATCTTTCACAGGTTTTAAACTTGTCCCAGGACAGCCTTCTGGATTTGGACAGCGGTCTGGCACAACAAGTTTGTTGAATTGTTCATAATCAATCTGTTTAAAATAAAGTTAGAAACTTAAGAATTAAAATTGTAACTAATTATTGTTAAATATAAAATAATAAAGTTAATTTTTTTCAATATAAATCTTAAAATAAAATACCTTTGCATCAAAACGTTCTTTGCATTTTGTACAATAATAAATTTTTTTATACTCTAATAGTTTAGGTAGAACTGTCCTAATAACAGTCCCATTAACTCGCAAAAAGGAACCAATATCTTCATTCCTAGGAAATATTGTACGATGCAATTCAGGACATAACGGTAAAGCTAAATAATGAAATTAAAATCTTGTTTTAATTAAAGAATATAAAATATAATATTGCTCATTTGTTATATTTATATGTTTTAAACAAACCAGTTATCCTTGTATGAACTTTTTTTTTTACACGCAATTTAATATTTTCGTCATTAAAATTTTTTCTTATTGTTTTTTGAGCTTTTATTAATTCTTTATCACACCGTTCCAACACAGAAATTGAATCAGACAAAATTTCTTCACCTAACTTTGGATTTTTTTCAAAAAGTGTTAAAAAACTATAAATATAATAAAAAAATATATAAAAAAAAATTTAATTGAGTAAAATATAAAAAATTTAATACTTAATTGTAAGTGAATAGTGTTGTTTTTTATCAACTTGCTTCAAAATATCTAAAACTTCTTCTGAATGATAATTACAAATGTATTTATCAAACATTTTGCAAAATAATTCTAAAGAAAAAGAGAATATGACAATTCAATAGAATAGAGTGTGAAATAAAATTTTATAGATGGGTAGTGATCCTTATAATTATATAACTCACAATTAGAGTTTACTAAACATAGGTATAAAACAATTTTTTTCACATTTTTTATATTTTTAACTTAATTAAAAAACTCCACTGAAAACTAAATAATAACTGGTAAATTGAAAAATGATTATATACCACCATTTTCGATATAATATTTGATATCACTCATATCAAATTTGTTATTATTTAATATGAGATTATAGTATCTAATATATTAATATAATTTAATAATATTTATGATAATTTATCTTAATTTTTGAGTTTTTCTAAATGTTTTTAGTAGATCGGCTAGTGTCTGGTCTGAAAATTGGATTTAGCATGTTCTTTTAAAATAATGAATACTATAATAGTCTTTTACAAAATGCTGAGTTTAAGAAAATTTAAATCACAAACATATAATATTATACTGTAAAACAAACATACAAATCAATTAATATTAAATTAATCAATTAAAAAATTAATATCGTTTAAATTAATTTTTGAAGATCATGAATGTTTTTAATTGAATGTAGAAAAAATTGTAGCAAGTAATTACCATTTATATATTACCTAAAATAATGTTTTTTTAAGTATTACATTGTTATAGACATGGATGGCTCAAATATTAAAATGTACAATAAATATGAAACTCTTGGTGAAATTTATTTTTATTCAAATTCCAATAAAAATTATAAAGTAAAATTACTTTGCAGCCGTCTTTTAGCAAATCACAGTTTTAAGTAAGCAATATTTAATTGATAATCTGTTAATTTAATATATTAAAATTTTAATTTTAATATATTGTGAATATTTATTGTTTGCAGAAATTATAACTTGGATAATTCCTGTACTGAACGTTCATCAGATGATTCAAGTATAATAGATGAAAAAACTGATTCAAATGTTATTAATTCATCAATGTTTATTGATCATGATGAATTTAGAAGTAAAATAAGGTTAGATAGCTTATTTAAATAAATAGATAAATAATTCTATTATAATTATTAGGGTGGCCTGGATTTGAATGTATATTGCATTTTTTAGGCATATCTTAGATGATGCTCTCCAAGTAAAAATTCTATTTATTTAATGAAGAATTCAAAAATAAAACTTTTATTATGAATTCTAGAGATTTATTTTTAAGAAATTTTAATACTAATTAGAGTATACTTAGGAAAAAATGACTTTTTTTTTTAAATTAAAATTAGGTTAAATAGTATTTGGCAAAGTAATGAAAATTACGTGACATGTATTATCTTTTTGTTATTTGTAAAGATATTCATAGTTGTTTGTGTTTATGAATATTAAGGTTTTAAGAGGGCATAGCTCTTTAACAAATTTATAAATTACCTTTTTTTTATATAAAAATATTTCTTACCAAATATTTTGTTCTATTTATGTTAATCAAAATGTTGTGTAAAATATGGTACTTTTAAAATGTAAAATGCTTTTTTGACTATTTATAATATTTTTAATACAAAACAAAATCAATGTTTACAAAGTAACATCAATTATATTTTTAATTTAAAGCTATTTTTGTGTGAATTTCAGAAATTTTAATAGATAATTTTAATTGTTTTTAGGGTATTTAAATCTAGGCTGTAATAATGAATATGATTATATAGTTTATTATTTTTTATGCATTATTCATATTATTGTTTAAACTTTAAAATTTTGTGTAGATTAGACCAGTACTTTAGAAGTTTTGACAATTTCAAAAAATAGACCGTGAGAGAAGCACGGTTATAACAATATTTATCATTAAATATTTCTTGGCATCATACTCCTCTCTCCTATGTATCAAAATGTTAATAAATTTCAAAATACTGGTACAAAAGTTGTTTCCGACAAGACATTTTCTTAATTGGATCATTTTATATTTTATAAGCTAGTTAAATATGTATGTTGTTAATTAATAAAAATAATTTGCAACCCTTCTAAACAGAGCTGTGAATTATATATATTTATACATTTTGTTATGTTAAGTACAAATATTTTTCATTGGCTTAAAAATTTAGTAATATGTTTTATCTGATGTTATATTTTTGGGATGATAATGGAGATATTTATAAGAAAAATATTTCTGTATTACTTTATGATCGTACTACAAAGTTACACAAACTTTGGATTCTTCAAAGTGGAAATTATAGAAATGAAATTTATAAATGAGTATAATTCACAGTTCTGTTTTAAAGGTATAAGGGATGATTACAAAAAGTACTTAATAATTGATGAATAACAAAATATATGAAGCTAAAAAATGCTAAAAATAATTTTTCTTATTATTATTATTTTAAGAGAAATAAATTGGCTAGCATTAAAAGAAAAATCTTATGTTGTTTTAAAAGTAAAAAATGTTGATATATTTTTTTGTTGATTTAGGAAAACATCAATATTATAATTTTTATGTATATTGAGACATAGTTACCAGAAAATTTTTAATATCAAACAATTTTAATTATTTTTCATTTATAAATAATGTTATTAAATTAAATTATGTAACTTGCACATTATATCAAAAATAAATTTTTTGACTTATATAAAATTAACTTTTTTCGTAATTGGTAGTATAATAACAGTAAATTAATACAATGAGATAATTGAAAAATCTGAAATTGATGATAAACAATTTTTTTAAATCCTCATATATCTTTAACTATGATACTTTTTTTTAGGAATAATTTATTGTCTAATTCAATTTGTGTGTGTGTATGTGTGTGGGAAGATTGGTGAAATAATATTATCGTCTATCTATATTTTGACTAGGGGGGAATTACCCTCCTGCCCCCTGGTTCCGGAGCTACTGCTAGACTTTTGCAAATTAGTATTTTTTTTTTGCTAAATGTTTATTATTAATATTGTGATTTCTTGTTAAAAGATTATTGTTTGTTTAAAAACATCAATATTATTGAAAAAGCCTAGTGTTAGAAGAATCTGTTAAGTCCTTGTTAAAATGTTTAAATTTTTTTTACAGTTTAAATAATCAAAATAATTCATCATCTATTGATGAATTTATAGATCAAGAAAATACTTATGAAGTTTTACAAAAGGAAGATAATATTCAAGATAAAGAATGGTATAATTATTGGGAAAAAAATGGTGAAAAGTTTATAAATGAAACTTGGGTAAAACAATATGGTAGCTGTACATTAAATGATTCAGATATTAATATTGATGAACTTTATCAAAATCATATTAAAATCCAATATACTGCATTGTATTGGAAATTTGTAGAAGAAAAAAGTTTGAAGCATTTTCAGATAGAAAAATCTGTCGAATACAATAAAGATTTGTATGTTTTTTTAGTAAATATTTTATAAATTACTTAATAAAGGAATTAGTGTTGGTTTGGGTTTATTAGGACTAAACTGATAACATTTTTTTCCAATATCTAATCATTCAATATTAAACTGATAAGGGATCCGATATTATGAGTTATGTTTAAAAATTACTATTTGTATTGAATTTGTTTTTTTACATAAATATATTTTCCATAGACAAGAAATTATTATAGACTCGGAAATTTAAGCAAATTGCATTCATGGCTATAACACTATTAGTTTGTCACAATAGTTAATGATTAATGCACAATAATTTACAATATAAATATAATAAAGATAAAACAAAACTGACAATTATGTTTTAAAAATAAAATTGTTAGTTAGTAAACAAATACGCATAAACATAACTCTGTGATTGCATTTTCAAGTAATTAAACTATATTCTAAATATTCCAAAATAATCTTTATCAATATTCAATTATTTTTTTTGAGATTTGCTCAATTTATGGAGAACGAGGTAATTTTTTTCAATTTTCGAGATCAATGTCTTCAACAAAATTCAAATTGTAATCTTTTGACATATTGTTCATTAAAATCGGTCCAGTAAGAGCTAAGAAAAGTTGGCGATAGACACAAAAAAAAAAAAATACATAATAGTATGTGGTGAACTGGGTTTCTAAGTCCAGTTTCAGCCAGTCGGAAGAGTACCAATAGGAAGAGTCAAAGTAAAAATACAATGTAACATTCACTATGAGTACTGATCACTTTATTTGTGTTCATGTCCCTATTTATATTTTAAGATACATGATTAATTACGAATTAATACAAGGTTAAGACAATATTTAAAGTAAACAAAAACACCATTAAAATATAATCTTTAAAATCTAATTTAAAAGACTATTAAGTATTGCTACATATTTCAAGATGCCGTTCACGACAAGTAAAATGAATTTCTTCTCAGTTTCGCATCGAAGCTAAAAAATCTTGAATATATTAATAATCAGCACAGGAACAGCGATGAAACGCGAAGCCAAAATTTTTTTAGTTGGGACACTCTAATATATCCCTATCAATTAAGAATCGTCTATCCGCCCTTTTATGGATCTGATTGAATTCAGCGATCGCTATTACATCAATAAATAATATACTTACTTTGAATTTTTGTTATATCTTTTTAGAACTAATTATGGGAAATTATTTTTTTATTAGAAAATATTTTTTTATTATTTTTATTACCCATTTAAAAAAACCAAGTACAACACCACTTTTTAATAGTAATTTTAGCTAAAATGCTTGAAAATATTTCGTATAACTTGCGACAAGCAGTGCTGCAGTAGATACAACAAAATTAGTTTTGCTTAACTCACTCTAAGCACATAAAGCATAGTTGGGGATACATTTATGATTTTTTTTTAAATCAAATTAATGGACTTGGCATAATATCTTTATTCACTAGTAATAGGAGAAATGTAGATATTATATTATCATCAGAAACGATATTTAATAAAAATTCTGAAAAGTAATAACAATTCAAACATTGAATGCAGGCATAATAAAATTGGTCCACGCGTGTTAGCGAAATTATTTAAAGAAATATTGATAACGTTTCGGCGACATATAGCCACACCGCACGCCGCATCATCATCTGTTAATATTTTTAAAATATAATCAATAGCTGCAGCACCAGTCGACAAAAAAATCTACAAAAGTAATCTAAACATATCTTAAAAGAATGCATTTTACTCATTCTGTATTACATTTAGATCTTTAACACTTATTACAAAATTGAAAGAGGACAATATTTCGAAGACAATCTCATAGTCATTTTGGGTTTAACCTAATATTAATCTTGATAATTGAATTTGAAAATGTACTTTTTTATGTAAGCCGAGACAATGGAGTCCTGTAGTATATTTACAGCCCTTTCAGGACTGTATCCGTATAATAGATCCATTGTTACCTTTCCTCTTTGGTTGATGTTACTGCTTCCCCAAATAGGATGGTGAGTATTAGTGTCCTAGGTATGGATTCTAATGCTCACCCCACTATTACTAGTACAATGAGTTTTCTTACATGGAGGTTCTTGCCCCTTGTCCTCAATTTTTTGAGCTTTGGTTCCCTTTTACTTTTTCAAGTCATCGGTTCCCTTGTCTCCCTCTTTTGGTAGTTTCTTCTACCCCTCCATGATTGCCCAGCTCCTCTTTACCTTGCGCTTCTGACTGCCGCTCAGTTTCTCAGGTCTAAGTTTTAAAGTCTTTTAAGTTCGGCGATTCTTCTGCGAAGAGTCGCCAGTTCACGTTCTTGTTCCAACAGGTTGTCCGTAGGATCCCTGTTCGTCCCAAGTTCGTTATTTTATGGTGTTTGTATGTTTTTATCCATATAGTTCCAACGAGTAGTCGAGAAATAAAGGTCCATCACAACAGAGCTCGATACTGTGATACTCATATGCTGTATACTCTATGGTGCGCCAGGTGCCATAGAGAATCCCAATGGTCACTTTACCTTTCTGCTAACTACCCTATGACAAGTTAGTAATCCTTTCACTTGGTATGGCTGGGTTAGGGGGGCCTATTCGCTGTTAGCAAGCCGGGTTGCCCAAACAGACCTAACAACTAACCAAAGTCATGACCGGCTAAGATCAGTGGTACGTGTTGCCAACCCCACTGAATTAACTATGGTCCACGGGGTTGGGTTGGGTTGTAATCCTTGTGGATTCCCCTGCGGGTTAATATTGGAATAAAAAAAAAAAAATCTATTCCGACAATACCTTTATCTCATACATTGGCCAATATTCTACTTAACTTCAAGAATCATTTTTAGTTCCCAAAGAATTAAAAAAATAAATAATTTTTTAAATTAAAATCGATTTTTAGAATGGAGGATAAATGAATATAGCACCCACAAAATATTATTCTAGTTTTGCTGCTACCTGCTTTCCATAGAATTTTTTATGTTTTTATTGTTAGCATAAGAAAATTGTGCTGTTTTAAAATTAATTATTCAATAATTTATTTATTAAAAATGTTTTATATATAAAACATATAGTAATTTAAAAAAATAATGTTGTTGGGGATATTTTTTTGTAAAAGAAAAATGTTGAATTGATCAAAAGTTTTGAACTTGTAATTTTTAAAATCAATTATATTGCAAATTATTTTTATCTATTTAAATTATCAAATAGTATTAAAATAGAATTATTTAACTAAACACCTTTAAGTTTTAATTAATTCCCACATGTGGCTTGTGTTTCTAGAAATAAAGCGGTTCAGTCGACTTCTTTTTGTAGCCAAATCAATGTAGAAGAAAATTTCAATGACTCTAAATTTGAATTTATTTATAAGTATAAGTATGTGTTTTTAATTATCATTTTAAAGTATTATTAAATTCTTCTGTTAGTAAAACTCATATTTAACGACTTGAAATCAATAATATGTTGTTTCTCAAAAAAATAAGTTATAATGATGAAGGGTTAAGTCTAACAATATGTAAAATGTGGTGTGGACCAGATATTTCTAAAAATATAAAAACTGAAATGTAAAGGGTAAAGGGTGCAATGGGTATTTTGAATTTTTAAATAAATGTTGGTTTATTAATAATATACTTTGTTCAAAATTTTATTTATTTCAAGTCATCAATTATATCTTTAAGAAAATTTCTAATAATTTACTTCAATTATAAAATTTTAAATTAAAAAAATTATTTTATTGTTCATGTGTTATTTATAATATATAATTTAATATATTTCTTTTTTAGACATTTTCCCAACTGTAATTTTCAACTGGTGAGAGTTTACCAAGCACTGAGTAAAATGGGATACACATATTGTGATCAAACTAATTTTGATTTTGGCCACGTGGAATACCATAAAAAACATTTGATAAAATCTACTAGTCATTTAAACATATACAGAATTCCAGAAAAAGTATCTTTTTCTTTAAAATAAAATAAATTAAGTAAAAAAATCCAATCTTAATTATATTTTGCAGTTCAGTCTTAAAAATGAAAATACAGAAATTGATATGAATTCAAAAAGAAAATTAAAAAAAAAAGAAAAAAGATCAAAATTTTTTAATAATTCTACCAAAATTAAATTAGAAAAATTTGGTTTCAGTGATTTAGAAATTGATTCAGTACTAATGAAATATTGGAAAAAACGTTTTATTTTATTCTCAAAGTTTGAAGAAGGTGTGAAGTTAGACCAAGGTAGATATTATTCTACACATTTAAACTTTTAATAAGTTGAATTAAAAACTAAGAAATGAAAATTAACTACACTGTAGGGATTACTACAAATTTTATTTAATTAGAATAAATTTATGTTACTTAATTTAAAGTATAATATTTTCTTTCTTTTTTAAAAAATGTATTAACATGTTTTAGTATACTGTCAAAAATGTTTAAACTCTTATTTAGAATATATTAAAATATTCATACTATATTTTGACTCATTTATGTTTAATTATAAATATTATCTATATGAAAAAAAAAGATGACTCCAAATATTATTAAATTTAGATGACTTAATCTCAGTACCATTTTATATTAATAATTAGTTTAATAAAAAAAAAAGTGTGATTTATTGAGTATACTCTTTGAGATATTAGCATTTGAAGATTTATAATGGATGAGGAGCATAGTAGTATTTAGCATCACATTTTTTACCATTATACACAAATAGAAATTCTTCTTTCAGACCTCACCCGCTTATAACCTAAAAATTATATCAACTCAAAAAGTAATAATACAATTTTGATTATCTAAATGTCAAAATCATTTTTAATAGTAAAAAAAGAATAATAGATGGAAACCTATTATTAAATAATAATATAATATTATTTAACTTTTAAAAATTATCCCTAAAATTTTCCCCAAGGAAAATTTTTTTCTTACAATTAATTTGATATTAACAATGGTTTATAAAAATAAGTTATATTTTCCTCATTATCTTGCCTAATTTTTGAAACAAGATCATAATTCTGTACGAAAGATGACAATATTTCTCAACTTAGTGTAATAAAAAAATAAAAATATTTAACTTAGTGTAATATCTGTGTAACTTATATGCTAGTGACTAACTATTAACCACTTTCATTGTTCAATAGCTATTTTACTGTGATATACTCATGATATACGTGTAATCACGGCCAAGGAGCCCCACCTAAAAAAAGAAAAAAACTATATTTTTAATCTATACATTTTTATGAAAAAATCATCATTTAATAAAAAAAAAAGGTGGTTAGTATACTTAATAAATCACACTGTATATACATTGTAGAACAGATCTAACTGATAAGTCTTATAACTTTTGATCCAGTAATTATTAACAATATCTTTTGATCGATGTAATTTTTTTATTTAATAATTTTTGTATTCTGAGACTACCTTAAAATCATATTTTTATATTTTAATATAAAAAAAAAAATGAAAAATGATTATCTAGATTTAATTATCTAATTATATATCTGTGTAGAGTATTTTTTAAACGGCTGCAATTCAAGTTATCCATAAGGCCTAACTGATGAGTACTGTTTTGACGTTTGCATCTAGTTGTTTGTTTAATTTTACATAATTAATGCCATTATTTGTACTTTTTTGGTGTTTTTAATAAGTGGGCCCCGTCCACATTGTTGTGTCCCACCTAGAATGAGACACGGTAACGTGTTTGGAGTGGATGTAGTTGTAATGTAAAATGAAAATAAAAGATTACGGCACAATATATATTTATACAGCTGTTCTTTAAATTTAGAAATACTATTATTTATAATTAATACATTAATTGTCTTAAGGTAAAATCACTTATAAGTCGTAACACAATATATTTATACAATGGTTCGAACGCGATTGATTGTTGCTTATTCGTTGTCTAATACTAATTATTACTTAACCCCACTACATTAGTATAATAACAATACTGGTTCGTAACAACATTATTTGTACCATAACAACTGTGTTGTTTATTTTATTAATTTCTATTGTTTTATTAATGACAAAAAGTGCATTACATGTTTAATCATTGTTAATTACCTCATACAGTCCACTATCATTATTCATTTCATCCTTTCAGATTATATACAATAATATTACTCATACATATTTTTCATCTAACTCGATTGATACATCAACAAGTGAAATTGTTTCTGAAAAATGAGCGTTTTATCCTTTTGTATATAAACCATTTGTATGTAGTTGAGATTATGAAATTATAATTAAAAAAAAAATTATTTTAAAATTTTATGTTTATAGAAAGTTGGTACTCTGTTACTCCAGAAGTAATTAGTAAGCATATAGCAGAACGTTGTAGTTGTTATCTTCTTATTGATCCATTTTGCGGAGCTGGAGGAAATATTATTCAGTTTGCAATGACATGTGAATTAGGTAAAATTAAAAAATGTATATTTATTCATAAATTGGGCGAGTTCCAGTAAATTTGTTCAATTTTAGTTTAACTAAATTTATGTATGTAGTTATAGCGATTGACAAAGATCCTAAAAAAATTGAAATGGCTCGTAGTAATGCAGAATTATATGGAGTTGCTGATAGAATTGAATTCATTGTTGGTGATTTTTTCAGTGTAGCTGAATCTTTAAAAGCAGATGTTGTATTTTTATCCCCACCATGGGGCGGTCCGGAGAAAATGAATCTTGAGGAATATAAGTTGTCCAATATAATGCCAGAGAATGGAGGAGTAAAAAAATTATTATCTGTTGCCAGAAATATCACTACTGAGATTGCCCTTCATTTACCAAAAAACACAAACATTTTTGATGTAAGAATCATTTTTATTTATTTAGATATTTTAAAGAAGTCCAAGAATGAAAATATTGAAATGGAGAAAGCAATGAATTAAAGTAAATCTTGGGTTTTAAAGCATTTATAAAATTTATTATTCATGTTTATTATAAGTAATTCAAATATATTAATGATAAATAAATATTCCTGTTTATTTCTCTTATTTCTAAGTCTTCATCTTTTTCCTTGCTCTTATACCAACTACTTGGGGTCTGCCACTCTTATTCTAAACTTCCACTTGACACAATTTCTCAATTTACCTCTTTCTCATTAATTAAATCTACCAGTCTCACAAGATATCCTTTAATGTCTCTTTTGGATTCTCATTCAGAAATTTTTTCAAAATGCTTTTTCCACCTTCTTATGATCACTTTTTATTTACCTTATATAATGATAAACTTTAGACTGTTTTTTTCTTACTTTTGCTATTCTATAGACTTCTATTACAATTTCTTTTGTTCCTAGCCTACCATACAACTCATCATACTTCTTAAACTTTGCCTTACTCATTGTATATTTGTTTCCTTTACACCAGCTTTTAGACTCCATCCAATCTTCTCTTATTTTGTTTTTTTGCCATACTTTGAACTGCTTCACGTTCTTCATAATAGTATGAATTTAAATATTTTAAAATTTGATTTAAGTTGTAAAACTATTAACTACATAGTTTTTTAAGTGCCTATTTTTTTATGGCAATTTCAGAATAGTATATTTTTCAACTGAGAAATAAACTAAAACCTATGTAGATTAAATTTAAATATTGATTAAATATAAGTAGTAAGAAAAAAAATTGACTAGTTAAAAAAAAGTTTTTATGGATTATTATTATTATTTTTTTGTAAGCCTTAAAGAAAATTATAACATAAATATAAAATAATTTTAATTGAATTATTTAAATGTCTACCCGGTCCCTTTTTCTTCCAGTGTTTAAGTTCAACTATTGATGGCTGGATTGAGGTTCAACAAAATGTTCTGAATTCACGATACAACTCTATTACTGTTTATTATGGTGAATTATATGGATTGTGTCATGAAACAACAGGAAATTACTCATATGATATTTTTGATGGATAGAATTTGTAATTTAATTAAAATTATTCTAACCAAATATATGTGTAATTTTATTGACTTTGTGATTTATAAATGTAATAATTTTTTTAACAGATTTTTAATTTATAATTAGAAATAATATTACTTAATCCTGATTGCTTTTCACAAAAAAAAAAAAAAAATAGAATTAATACCAAAAATTGATTTTGAAAATATAAAATTTGGTTGGTGTTATCATATTTTATGACAAATTAAAACTTAGTAGTTAGCTGTTAAAAATAAATATTTTATGCAATAAAATGTGTTCGGTCAGGTCTTTGACGGTCTGGCTTAATTATCAACTGCTCCCGTGCGGCTGCTCTTTCTAACATAGTTTTTGTTTTGCCTAGTAAGTGACATTTTTTTTCTAGTTGACACTTCAAATTTTCATTTTCTTCTAAAACTGATTGATATTGTGATCTGTAATCTTGCAACTGTTGTTCTAGTTGCGAACACTTTTCGCTAGAATCTAAATAATAGCTTTGTGTAGTTTGAAGTTCATTTTGTAATTTTTCCACATAATCCTAATTAATTAAATATATTCATATTTTTCAATAGTCATTAATCTTAATTAAATTATAACTATAAGAACTAATATCAACAAATGGTTCACTTACTTTGTCGTCTATATTTTTATTGATTCGATCCGTTAATTTACTTTCTCCTTTTATTTGTTTGAAAGTAGATTTCTTTGTTTTTATTAATTTTTCTGGTTTTTCGGATTGTTTTCTTTCATCACTTAGCATAGAGTCTGAACTTAAACTAGTTATTCCACTTCTATTTTATTAGATTAAAATTCAATGTGTTAAAAAATTTTTAAGCAATAAATAATTTAAATAATTTGGTACCCGTTGTCTGCCAGCTGAAATTGATCAATTTTTTTTTTTAATCGAACATTTTCTTCTTCGAGTGCTAATTTTGTTTTTTCTATTCTATTTTTTCTGTCTTTTAAAGTATCTATTTCTTTGATTAAAGCTGCATTTCCTCCCTGAAATATAATTTTGTAAAATAACTGGAATATTAATTTATTTTTTAGTTTTATTTTACCTTTTGTAATAACTCTAAAGTAGTTATCTTTCGTCGTAGCTCTACAACTACTTCAGCTAAAGAGGTACCACCAGACGTCATTTCTTTAGCTGACCGTAAGGTATGTACTTCATTTATCAATCTATCTTTTTCTAAAGTTAATTCTTCGATAAGAGTTTTTGCCAATGCATTTGATTGCACAGCAGCTAATGATAAATTAAAAATGAATCAATTACCCACAAAATAACATTATAAAGCATAATACTTCAATTATGTGCAATGTAATTATAAAAAAATAAGCACCATTTGCAGATTTTAGTTTTAATTCTAAAACGTTACGATCTTTTTCCATACGAGTCAAATTGTCTCTTAATCTTTGATTATTCAAACGCAAAGCTTCTCCTTCTCTTGTAGTTTCAACTAATCGAGTTTGAAGTTTTTCGATAGTAGTTTGATGACGTTTATTAACTTCCCATTTACTTACCTGTTCATCCGACTTTTAAAAAAGCTATTAGTTAATTTTATATTTCATTTTAAGTATTTAATTTTTAATAACACCATTGTTTACCTTCATTTTTCTGAACACCTTATTTTCTTCGTCTTTCTTTTTGTATTCTTCGAGTTCAGTTTCCAAAGCTTTAATTTTTTTTGTTAACACTTCTTCTTTTACGATACAAATTGTATCCTCCCGTTTTCCATTAGCTGGTGGTCTATAAATTCAATATTATTTAATCAAAATGTTTTTATGATCAAACATTTATTTAAAAATAACCTGTAAATTATTTGCTGTCTTAATTTTTGTATTTCTGCTTTGTCTTCTTTTTCTCGTCTCTCGTATTCGTCAATTTTTTTTTTCAACTTGTCAACTTCCATCCTAAGTCGGTCTCTTTGAGCTGGTAATGAATCTCTCTTTGCTCGTAACCCTGTTATAATTTCATTAAGTCTTGTTATTTCTAAATCTTTTTCTTCTGAATCATCTTCGGTTTTATTTTGCTCCATTTCTTTTAGCCTTCTTTCAGCCACACCACTCCAATGTTCTTTTTCGGAATTTACTTTAGCTAAATCATCTTCGGATTGTTTGAGTTTGTCTTCAAGATCTGCTATTCTTAATATGTACTGATTAACAATAGGTTGGATATTATTTGAACGAATTGGAGATGAGACATCTTTTTGTGGCCTAAAATAATTTTATTTGTAAAAGCTTGTATTTAAATCAATAGTATTTTAATTAATAAAACTTTTGAAATATATTAATATTTTATGGTAATCTTATAAAGAAATTAAAAATAGAAAGTGAGAATTTAATGAACTAATAAACCTCTTAATAAAATGTTATCGATTTATTAGGGTCGTAATTAAGTGGAGAATAGATCCCTAGATCAGATTTTATAAAGTTTAGTTTAAACGTTAACGAACAGTTCAATTATTTTTAGGAAACATATGATTTAGATAAGAAATAATTACACTCTATTGATTAGTTCACTATTTTCAATTTTTTTTTGCAATTCCGTTATTTCCTTCACATGATCTTCCCGGCATTCTTTTAAAAGTTCTTGAAGTCTACTTATGGTTTCTTCTTTCTGGTTTACGATTATTTCTAAGCTTTCAATTGTGGTCAATAGAGCAGGATTTTGTAAATCGTTTTCTACATTTTCACTAGTAGCTAACTTAATATTTAATTTCCTGATTTCATCATCTTTTACAATAAGGTCTTTCTGTAACTGGTTTTTATAAGTTTCGAGATCATTCAACGAAACTTGCAATCTTTTTATTTCTTCATCTTGGTTTTTTTTTTCCTTCTCAATAGTATTACTTTTCTAACATTTTATTAAATTATTCAAATTAATAAATTTTTCTATTAAAACAAATTTTTATACTTTTATTCATTTTAAACAAAAATTTAAATATAATTATATTAAGAAAAAAATGACAAAGTAGTCTAATATTCTAGTTACTCCAATGGAAAAAAACAAATAAAAACTTACATATTTTATTTTTTTCTCTAAATATTCGTCTTTATCTTCTGGTTGTTCAAGACTAGTAATTGATTGAACACTTATTTGTTTATCTATTTTTCTCACATTATTTTTTGTATCAATTCTAAAGTGTTTTATACCCCATGACATATAATTATGCATAAACTCTGAATCCAATCGTACAATTTCTTTCTCAAGACTATCTATGAAATAATCTTGTTTTTCAATCCTCTCTGTACACAATTGTAACTTTTTTCGTAAATCATCACAAGCCATTTGTGTGTTAAGTTCCTAAATATCAATTTGAAATTATAACATTTTGTTTACTTAATGACGCTGCATTGTTTTTCATAATATTAATAATTAATACTATATTTTAATAAAAGTAGTAGTTATATTAGTTAAACCGACATACTTTTAATTGCAGTTGAGTAAATTTTATTCTATAGTCCTCATTCGTTTTTGTTGGCACATAAACTATATCGTCAGAAACAGAAGTTTCTGTGTTATCAAGCCATTTTCTATAAGTGTTTATTATGGCTTCTTCGAGTTTTTGTTTATGAGTTACCCAAATATGTTCATTTACTAATGATATTGCACCAGAATAGCGATTTTGTAATTCTAGCAAAATATTTTCCAATCGCCTAAAATAATTAAAAATTAACAATAAAATTGCAGTTTTATAGTTGCGCTGTAAAATATTTATAAAAATTTACATTATTTTTGTCTTAAAATGATCATTATTTGAGTTATATTGTTCGATAATTTCATCGTTTTTACATTCTAGATTAGCAATTGTTGTTTGTTGATCTTGTATGGTAGATTTGAGTTTAGCATCTTCTACTTCAGCAGCTATTTGTTTTTCCTCGAGAGTAGATATTTCACGCATTAATCTGTCTATTGGTAAAAATGATAAATATTATTATCTTCAAAACTTTTTATAAATACTCCTTGTTAATTGCAAGTTTTTTTACAACAAAACAAAATGTGAAAGTATTTATATGAGATACTTAAATATATTTTATCATATGATCTTATGTTCATTTAAGTATCACTCTTGGATCAAAGGATATACATCGTTTCGCTGCGATATAATATATAGTTAGTTCGTCTTTTAAGGTATCATGACAAATCAGTAGAATGTCGTACTGTATCTCAAAAACAAATTACATAATTATTATTGATTAATTTTTAATGTTTAATGTTTAATGTATAAGTTAAGATTTGAACGCTCGTTAAAATATTAACATATCGATCAAACGTTTCAATGTACATCAAAAATCAAAATCAAAATAAGACATGTAATTTGATCGAAAATGAAAAAATTATTTCAGGTAAATTAACCATATAAATTATTCTAGTATACATGTATTTTAGTGTATATGTGTTAATTTACTACCAATGGTTGATCTTTCATCGCTTAATGCTTGTAGTTCAATGATTCGTCTCTGAGTAATGGCGTGTTGTTGATCTAATAGTTTATGATGATGTTCGAGATCACGCACTTGGCTTTGAGTAATGTCTAATATTTTTAGTAGTCTAGTTTTTTCTTGTAATGCTTGATCCTGTTAAACATAAATTAATTCTTTTGATTTTAATACTTTTAGAATAATTGAGTTACTTGTTTTGTATTTTTTTAGCTTTAATTGTATTTATTAACTTACTAAATTATTGTCTGAAGTTTTAAGCTTTTGAGCCATTTCAGCATATTCTGACTCTTCTATCATGTTGACAGTTGTTTCTCTTAATCGTACTTCTTCAGTTTGACTTTTTAAATTGGCTTCCATCATATTACACAAATTTTGTTCTAAATTTTTACACCTTACTTCCATTTCTTCCATTTGTTCTATAATAATGAAATATTATAATTTTAAATTTTAATACTTAAAATGTTTTTTAAAAAATACCTTTTAACAATGCGTACATCTTTTCAGCGTGCTCTGCTCGTTGTAATAATGACATTTTTTCAGATTTTAATGCCGTTATTTCAATGTCATCACCATTTATATTATCTATTTCAATCACACTACTTTGTCTTTGATCTTTTAAAAGCATTACTTCCGCTATTAACCTTTCAGTTAATAATTTATATGTATCCTCCTATAATAGTTATAAAACCAACGGAATAATAAATACTATCTATATTAACTGTCACATATGTTTGACAATTAATAGTAAAAATGGTAATTTAAATGACTAAAATTATTTTTTTAATTAGTAAATACTTTGAATAAATTTGTATGAAGTATTTCTCTATGTTTTATAGTAAGTTCCTCTAATTCTTTTTTAATTATTTGGTACTCATTAATATTTATACTCTTTTCTGTTTGATTTTTAAATTTATTTAACTCAACGTTTTGCTGTTCCTGAAAATTCCGAACAAAGTTATATAAATATTTAATTATAATATATTGTATATATGCTTAGTAAACTTAAGATTAGGAGGTTTCGAGAGTATTCAGTTTTAAGAATAGTATTTTTTTTGTAATTAAGCCATTGCTAATTAAATTATATTAATGATTAACTTCTTTTTAGATAGTACAGGATTATTTTTGTCACCGCAAAAGTTAATGAAGGCTCAATTATCATGAATCAAGATATATGAGTCCTTGTTAACTTAAAGTTTTTGTTATGCACATGTAAAAAATATGTTGTAAGTCCGAATTTTTTTTTAAACTGTTCAATAATTTAATATCTTACTGTATATTTTAATAATCGTTCAATTTCTTCAGAATAATTTTTCTTTATTGTACAAAGTTCTTCATACCCTTTTTGTTTTTCAATTTTAATTTTTTTTTCCGAGTCTAGACAACAATCATACATGCGTTTAGTTATTTGAAGTTCTTCAGTTAATGCCGCTACCCTAAAAATTTAATATATAAATAGGTATTAAAGTGTTTATTTTTAATTATTATATATATTAGCTTGATGCGAATCTGAGAAGGTATTGGTTTTACTAAGATGTGTTTTTTTTTTTTTTTGTGTCTGTTACCACTTTTTCTCAGCTCTCGCTGGACCGATTTTGATGAACATTACGTTAAAAGATCACAAATTGTATTTAGTCGAAGAAATTATCCTCAAAAATTGAAAAAACATCCCTCGTTCTCCATAAATGGGGAAACCTCCAAAAAAATTACAAATTTAAAAATCGCTAATTTTCAAGATTTTTGAAATTATTTTTACTAAAAACTGCCATAACTTTTTTTAAAATGAACATATCAATATAATTATTTTTTATATAGATGTATGATATAATTACTTTTCATTTGATATATATTTTTTTTATATCTGACCCTTTAACTGTCTACAGGGGGGGATTTAAAATGACAACTTTTTTACAAAAAAATAATTTTTTCAACTGGACTTTTGAAAATGTTCCGGAAAGTCTCATACTTTTATATATATCTTAAATTAAAGCTATTGTAATATAATTTATTATGAAAAAAAAATTTTGGACTTTATTTTATCTTCATGGTAAAAACAGACATCAAAGTTGATAAAAAAAATACGATTTTTGTAAAAAAATTATTTTTTATATTTTTAACTTTATAATTCTATAACTTTTTGAAAGATGTATGGATCAATATAATTCTTTTTTTTATGGATGCATAATATTTTTAACTATCATTTGGTATATTTTTTTTATAAATCTGACTATTTACCTGCCTACAGGGGAGATTCAAAAGTACAACTTTTTTACAAAAAATTTACTTTTTCATCTTAACTTTTGAAAGTGTTCCGGAAATACTGACACTTTTATATATATATCTTAAATTAAAGCTAATGTAATATACTTCAATATAATGAAAAAAAAATTTCGAACTTTATTTGGCCTTCACGGTGAAAATGGTTACCAAATGCTAATTTTGTGTGAAAATTTTCGATTTTATTTTTTTATTTTTAACTTTATAATGCTATAAGTTATTGAAAAGTGTATAGATCAACATAATTTTTTTATGAGAAATAATAATTTTAAATAATCCCTTTTTCATTCGATATACTTTATCTGAATCAGGATATTAATAACGAACTAGCAGATTATGTTGCTTTTGGAATAATCCACCAATTTTTTAAAATTAAACACTATCTAAAGATTTGCATCGAAGCGTTTTTTTTGATAGTGATTTTAATCACTGTCAGATATCATAATACTTGATCCAACTATGCCACGTCACCACTGTGCCGCGACCCCCCTGTGCTGGGTTTTTTTACTTAAAACTGCCACAATTTTATCAAAAATGACCAAATCAATATAATTTTTTTTCATAAATGCACGATGTCATTACCTATCATTTGGTATAGTTTTTCTAAATTTGACCCTTTATCTGCCCTCAGGGAGGGATTCAAAATGACAAGTTTTTCACAAAAAATTAACTTTTTCAATTTATCTTTTGAAAGTACTCCAGAAATTCTTATACACTTATATATATATATCTTAAATGAAAGTTTATGTAATATAATTTATTATGGAAAAAAAAATTCGGACTTTAATTTGTTTTCATGGTAAATATGGATATTAAAGTTAATAAAATAAATACAATTTTTGTGAAAAAATATGTATGGATCATTAATTTTTTAAGATAAGTACTATTTGTATTCTTCTTTTTTGCAACATACTTTTTTTTTAAAATCGGACCATTACCCTTTTGTTAATAAATTAATAAATTTATTCATATATTACACTTATAAATCATAATACTTGTAATCAGAATATAAATAAGGAAATAAGAGATCAAGTAAAACAAAAAGTAGGAGTTATTTTTGCTTTTGGAATAATCCACCAATTTTTTAAAATTAAACACTGTCTACAGACTGGCATCGAAGCGTTTTTTATGATAGTGATTTTAATCACATTAGATATAACCTAACTGGATCCAACTATGCCACTCTCCAATATGACGTGACCCCACTGTGCTGGGTTTTTTTGTTAATTAAATTTGATTACCTTATTACATTATAAGAAAGTTGGCTTTTTATTTCGTTTGGATTATCAATCAGGGATTTCCACGAATTTTCAAAATCTGATAGTCGTTCCTTCAATGAAATTTCATTTTGATGCGCTGAATTTAGCTCAATCTCTAATTTTTCCACTGTTGATGTCATTTTTAATCTTTCATTGTCATATTCATTATTAAGACATCCCATTTCTTGTTGAAGTTTTTCAAACTTATGCTGGAACATTTTTACTTCTTGCTCTAGTTGAAAAGATCTTTCTTGTTCTTTCTGTAACCAAACGTTAACTTGAAAATAAAATTAGATGAAAATATTTATGATTTACTTTTTTTGAATAGTTTTCCTCCTCTAAATCATTTTCATTGATGTTTTCAGTTATTTTTAATGATGGTGTCGAGATTTGAGAGTTATACAATTCTTTTTTTGCTTCTGTTAATGCATCACTATAGGATAATATAATTACTATTTACAATTATATTAAACATTAAATACATGCAATATGTTGAATAGTTCTTTTCTTATAACTTACTGAAGCGAATGGAGTTGATATCTTAAGTTTGCATTAACTCCATCTAAATGGTTGATTTGAGCTAAAAGTCTCATACCAGGTTGATACCATCCAGCTACGTGTCTGGCATCCATAGCTTGCAACAACCTTTCTAAACTTTGGCACTCAATACGAACTGTGCTTGATCCTGAAAATATAGAATAATTATGATGTAGCTATTGGTTGATAAAACTAAGGATCTAAATAACTTAAAAATAAAAATAAAATTTTACTATGTATCATATATTTTTTGAGTAAGTGAGTTGACCCCAAGATGCTTGCTTTTAATTATTTAATTTTTCAGAATTTAAGATATTTAAATTAAAAAGTATCAAATTGTTTTCGCCAAATATTATTTTGACGATATAATTTTGAATGTTATATCTTCTTAAAAATTATTCTGATAGTACTCATAAGTCACAAATATATTCATACGTAGTTACCGTCTTGGTTGTGTAAACTGTCAAGGACTTCATGAAGTCCTTTTCTAAGTGATTCATTTTCATCTATAAGTTCCCGAACATTATCTTCTAAATCACTCACAATCTCAATATCTGGTTTGTAAATTTCAATTTGGGTTAGTTCTTCTTTTCCGTTTGGAGAAATATTTCTTGTACTTTCGGGTGATTTTAGCAAGTTGCGATTCTAAAACAATATGTAGTACTTTTTTATTATGCAATGAGTTAATAACATAAGAAAAAAAATTCATTTTTACTTTTAGTTTAAGATTAACAATAATTTCTTTACACTCGTCTAGTTCGTTTTGCAAAAAATTTATTCTAGTTTGAGCGTCTTTGTATCTCGCTATCATTCCGTCAGATCTGACTATATCCTCAATGGATAATCCTAATTTTTCTTTCATTGCTAAGTTATCTTGTTCTAAAAGATCAGCTTCTTGGTATAGTCTATTAGTAGTACTGATTAGTTCTTCTATCTCCTTATCTCTAGTTTCTAGTTCCTTCTTAATTTTTCTATTTTCTTCCATTGCTTCTTCTAAGCCAAAAACTCCACTCTCAAATTCTCGAACTTGAATAATAAGTTTACTTATCTATAAAAATTAAAAAAATATTTTAATGTGACGTTATTAAATTTAACCTATTATTATTTCAAGATTAAGTTCTAGATTAAAAGTTAAGATGAGTTGTTTACCCAAATTTACCTGTTCTGCTTTATTCGTGGCATCTTCTTCAGCAACTTTAGCTTTATCAGTTATAATTTCTAGCTGTTCTTGTAATGTAGACAAATTTTTTTGCAAGTCCTTTATCTCAGGTGATTCATTACTCTTGTTAAGTCTATATAATATAAAAAAAACTTGAGAAATGGTATTTAATTTAAATGTTGATTTTGTTTTACAATTCATTGTATAACTTTTTTTGTTGTTCCAGCGCTGACGCACTGCGATTTAAATCGTTAGTGGCTTTGTGTAGTTGTTTTTTTAATTCATTTAAATGATCTTCTTGTCTAGCTACCGTCTAAGTGAATGAATTAATTACAATATATTGTTAAAATATATTATAAGAAGTTAAAAGATATTTTAAAATTACTTCTTGAAGTTTAGCTAAGTATTCGTTCTGACTATCTGAATAACCTAATGGTCCTAATTGAGATTTGTAAGTTGCTATTTCATCATCTTTTTTTGATAGTAATTCCTTAAATCACAATAATTAAAATTGTTTACTTATTTTTCATTTCAATAATCCAATTGAAAGATAGCGTACAAAAATTTATATGTCTATAAATAAATTCTAATTTTTCTAATTTTCTCTCAATGTTCAAGAAAATTTTTATAAAAGTCTTGGGTATACTTGTTTTTGCAATTATAATTGTTTGTAAAACATTTTGAATTTATTAGGATTTTTAATTACCGAAAGTAGTTTAATTCTAGATTCTAACTGATCACTGAGTTCATCTATTTGCTCTTCACATTTTTCTTTTTCAGCTACTAATTCAGCTATTTGATTACGAAGTCCACTGTCGTTTAGCTCCAAGGTTTTTATTCGATCTATGGAATGATAAATAAAAGAATTTATGTGTTCTCAATTATTGAATTTTAGCTTATTGAATTATCATTACAAAACTTCAATAATTTCAATAATTTCAATTATTTTTTATAATTTCAATTTTAATTATTCGTGTTTATAATATCACAGGTAAAAGTTAAGTTGTGTAGTTAATCGGTTAATTTTGTCAGCTTTATTTAAATGAATTACAAATTATAAGACACTAATATCTTCTGTATTCTAAACTTATTAGTTATCGTTATTAAATAAGCCAAATTAAGTAATAATTACTTAAAATTAAAATTATTACGTTGAAAACGTAGATGGGCATAAAGGTGATTTTTTTATCATAACCCATTCAATTTCTTATAGAATAAATATAATTAAAATATATTTTTTCTTTGGTTATCTTTAGTTACATATTATTCTTGAATTACTAATAAATTCTTAGTATTATTAACTTAATTCTGTAAGTAATTGAGTAAGTTATGATAAAAAAATCATCATGTATATCAATTTATAATACACACCCGTATATTCATCCTGTAAGCATTTTAAATTTCTATATTCTGCACTTATTGTATTTATATATACTGTTGCATTTTGAAGCTCATCTCTTGTGGTTGTCAGTGATTTTTTTAATATTTTATTTTCATTTTCGGATATCTATAAAAGTTACACATTTTGCGAATTTAATTTCAATAGTCTAAACATTTGTCCATTACCTCAATATCATTGAGAAGTTGTGTGATATGTTGATTTTTTTGTCTGACTAGTTCAGTCATATCTCTAAATCTTTCAGCTATTGTTAAATTATTTTCTGTGAGTTGTTCATCAGTTTGACGGTTTGCATAATCATCTTGTATGGCATCTAATTCTCTACGAAGTGTATCTCTTTCATATTCTAATTTTGATAATTGCGCTGATAACTAGTAAAGGCCAAAAAATATTTTTTCATAAATTATAATTTGCAATTCGTATAAAAACATTCTTATAAAAATATTTTATTATAAAAAAAAACCTTATCAATTTCTTTAACTTTAGAGTCAACTTCTAATTTCTGTTGCTGTAAATCAGCTAATAAACCTTCGTTTTCCATTTCTAATTTAGCTAACTCTTTTTGTACAGATTCCGTTTCTATTAAAAACCAATTCGTGTAAAAATAAAATATGTATGTTACTTTAAAATATTTTTTATAAGTTAAATTTATGTTTAGAATTGATTAATGTTTTAGAATATTATCATTTTTTTTAATTTTCCATTAAAATACAATAATATATTTTTGAAAAAAATAATATTAATACATATAATATGATGCGTGAGTACTTACGTTTATAGGAACCATTAAAGGTTTTTATTTCCTCTTCTCTCATTTTTCTTGCTTCTTCTTTGCCTTGTTTTGTAGCTAATTCTTCTATTTCCGATAGTAGTGAGTCCACCTTAAGTTCATGAAAAGATAAAAATTACATTAAATATTTATATATTACTTTTTTTTACTTGTTCTCCTTTATATAACAACATTTTTTGAAATATTTTATACATATTTTTAGTTTGATCTTGATCCAGTTCAAAGTTCATTTCATTACTTTTACTCATTGTAACTTCTTCATATAATTGATCTAAATCTTGTTCATTCATATCATCTGCCGTAGCAGCTAATATTTTAGATAAATGGGATTGAACCATAGTTAATATGTATAATTAAACTAAATACTATTTGTTACTTGTTAAAAACTAATCTAAAGTCGTTTAAATAAAAACTAACTTACAATAATTATTGTATTCACTGTATTGTTTTGGCAAAGCTGTTCCATAGCAACCATGTGATGTTAATACAAACATTTTAAAAAGTCACGTGATAGTTTACGGGAGTATTTTCTCTACTTATGAACTAATGAATTAAACTATTATTATTTTTTTATCCTCCAATAAAACATTTCTTTACGTTCTACTGAGCTTATCCAGCGTCGGTCTGGTCCATCCTACTACTCAGTAATTGTAAGGGAATTTCGGATTTTTTTCAATGTAAAGGTTCATTGACTATGTACCCTCAAGTCAACTAGAAATTATATGCTAGAGGCTTAAATATGTACCAGGCTGACTCTGAGCTGATTATTGCTAAGCAAACAGAGTTGATCATAGTCAGTCTTATACACGTATCATATATAATCAGGTACTGCCGATCTACTGACTTAACACCATCACATCGTCACTCTAAATTGAAATATATAAATGCAACTTTAATCACTTTGATATATTTTTTCTATGCATCAATTAAAATGCAATAAAACTAAATTGATTAAATAATTAATAATTAGTTTTTAATGAATTTTGTATGTATTTTTGAAATTGTATTAGTCTAGAATTTTTACATCTCATAACATTGTGATATTGTTTAATACTATTAAATTTTATATTAAAAAATTTAGCGACCATAAGATATTTTGAAAATAAAATGAAAACCAACTTCCTTTTTAAGTAAAAAGATGAACATAAAAATATACTTCATGGTTGATAAATTGAGAAAAATGTATAAATAAATAAACAAACAGAAAAAAAACTCAATATTATAAATATTTTTTCAAATAATTAAGTGATCAGTGATAAAAGAATAACTCAGTACGAATAATATTTTTTACAAATTATCGAAAATTACATCTTCTATAAAAATGAGAAATGCTTTACTACATCTAAATGAAAAATTATCTTTGTATCAAAAGTATTTTAGCTTCGATGCGAAGCTGAGAAGGTATTAATTTTACTATGATGTGTTTTTTTTTTTTTTTTTTGTGTCTGTATACACTCAATCTCAGCTCTCACTGAACCGATTTTGATGAAAAATATGTCAAAAGATCACAAATCGTATCTAGTTGAAGACATTACCCTCAAAAATTGAAAAAAAATCCCTCGTTCCCCGTAAACGGGGGAAATCCCCCAAAAAATTACAAATTTAAAAATCGCTAATTTTCGATATTTTTTCATTTTTTTTTACTTAAAATTGCCATAACTTTTTTAAAAATGAACATATCAATATAATTCTTTTTTATATAGATGCATAATATCATTACCTTTCATTTGGTATATTTTTTTCATAAATTTAACCCTTAACCTGCCCACAAGGGGGGATTTAAAATGACAACTTTTTCACAAAATATTAACTTTTTCAACATAACTTTTGAAAATGTTCCGGAAAGACTGACACTTTTATATATATCTTAAATTAAAGCTTATGTAATATACTTTAATTTGAAAAAAAAAAATTTGACCTCTGGACTTGTCTTCGTGGTGAAAACGGACATCAAAGTTAAAGAAAAACGTACGATTTCCGTGAAAAAAATCTCGATTTTATATGTTATATTATTTAATTTATATTTTATATAACTTTTGGAAAAATGTATGGATCAATATTATTATTTTTTTATAATAAATATTTATATACTCCTTTCATCTACACGCTTTTTTTGTAAATCGGATCATACCCCTTTAACAAGGGGGGTCAAAACTTTAATCATGCGTATTGTTACTATGATATTTTCAATTTAATTTTTGAAAGTATTCCGGAAATACTGACACTTTTATATATATCTTAAATTAAAGCTTATATAATATACTTTAATTTAAAAAAAAAAATGTGACCTCTGGATTTGTCTTCACGGTAAAAATGACTACCGTATTCAAAAATTTGCTATTTTTGTGTTAAAATTCTGGGTTTTGTATTTTATTTTATTTTAAAATACCTGACAAGGGGACTACAGATTTTCATAAATATTATATAAATAAAAAATTAATATAGCATAGAAAGTTAAACTTATTTAAATTTGTTTGCTTCTTTTAAGTCGAGAAAAATAACTTTGAAATTTGAACTAGCTTAAATAGCCTATTTTTTCACCCGACTGTAGCGACGTACGGTTGCCGAGTTGGTAAAACTTATGTTTTACACGCTTGGGGTACGAGGTTCCAACCCGCGTATGGCAATGAATTTTTTGCATTTTTTCTTAATTCTTTTTAAGTTAGTTTGCTTTGATTTTTATCTCATTTAAATTCAATAACTTCAATAAATATCAAGGATCCCATAATTTTAGTCGCCCCTTGTAAGAAGCAATTTCTTATTCGTATTAAAATTATTTTACTATATTTTAAGTTTTAGCTTCGATGCAAAGCCGAGAAGATATTTTTTTGTGACTATCATTTATTTTCTCCGCTCTAACTTGACCTACTTTTTTCAACGATACGTCAAATTACTACAATTCGTATCTAGTTGAAGATATTACCCTCAAAAATTGAAAAAAAATTTCAATTTATCAATTAAACAGTTAGTTATTCCATGTTCTCCATAAAGACAATTAAAATCATTCATTTCTTATGTTTTCAAAGTATTTATTGACGAATTAAAAGTTTGATATGATAGGTTTCAACTACAAAATTTAATCATTTTACTTTGTAATTTAATAATTTTTTTACTCTATTTGTGTGTGCTACTACTAGACTATAATATTACAAATTTTTTTGTAACATGTTGCTATATAAATAATTTCTAAAAAAAATGATGTTTTTTCTCCTGGTTTAACAATTGATTTTTTCAAATATAATAAAAATTTTATAATATGCTCAATTGATTAAATCTTCTTAACAACTTTGTTTTGATTGGTACATCAATCATTAAAATTAATTAAGTTCTGAATGTTTCAATTGTAGAATCTTTTCTACAAACAACAAAAGTTACTAGGAAATTATTACTATTACTTCTATTTAAGTTATCTATTACGATATAAATGCAAAAGAATATTGTGCTTTTCAGATAAATTTACAATAAATAGTAATTATAAAACTTTCTGACTGCATATTAATCTTAACGATACAATTTTTTTAACTCTCATAAAATTTTCTATTTAATGTTGTCAATTTCAAACTTGCCAATTGAGCTATAAGTTATGGTAAAATAAATTTTTTTTTTTATTATAAACATTTACAACAATCAACTTTAAACGATTAAAAAAATAGGTTAAATATGTCATTTTCCTTATT